AGAAACAATGTCAAAGGAATGGTGAGATGAGTTATAATTTTCCACTGTTACAAGTGCGCTGCCTGAAAACAACCTAAAGTCATACATCTTGCTGTATTTACCTGGCGCTGATGTAATAGGAGCTTTAAAAGAATAACAAGACCCTGGGGGAAAAGCAAGAGGGAAGTCATTTATCCAGATTCTCTGAGAATGCCCAGAAACAAAGTAAGTTTGAAAACATGTCTGGTCAATATAAAGGAGATGTGGGGCAGGCTAATTTTTTCCCTCCAACTAAGTTATGAGATTTTTTTTTTTCAGATATGCCTCAAGTTTATTAAAGATGCCCTTATACACACATTTGCTACTAAAAATTGAAATACATCAAAAAATGTGTTACAACTTAAATGAGTACAAGAATACGGTGTATGCCTAAAATGACTTCTTCATGTCATTCTCAGCAACACCAGACAAAGGACCTGGATGTAATAGGCAATGAATACAGCCACATTGAAATACAGGTTCATTCCTTTTCTTCTTGCGGTTTTGAATAGCCTCATTCCTCCTCCTCAGCCATGTTGGAAACAGTCCTTTGAGGTCTCTTTTAAGACTTGCCATTGTCCTCACTCCACGTCTCCTCCTGTAGACCAGGCCATAACTCACCCCCACTATGCAGGATGTGGTCTTAGGCGACCCCTGTGAAAGAGTCGTTCGACCGCCAAAGGGGTCGCGACCCACAGGTTGAGAACCGCTGTTATACAAGCATGCTGCTTATCTACAAGCTACCTATTAGTCAGAGTCAGCATTTATAGAAACAATGTCAAAGGAATGGTGAGATGGGTTATAATTTTCCACTGTTACAATTGCGCTGCTTGAAAACAATCTGAAGTCATACATCTTGCTGCATTTACCTGGCGCTGATGTAATAGGAGCTTTAAAAGAATAACAAGACCCTGAGGGGAAAAGCAAGAGGGAAGTCATTTATCCAGATTCTCTGAGAATTCCCAGAAACAAAGTAACTTTGAAAACATGTCTGGTCAATAATAAAGGAAATGTTGGGCAGGCTAATTTTTTCCCTCCAACTAAGTTATGAGATTTTAATGTATATCACCAACAAGAGACTTCAACATAGCTTCCCAGTATGGGTCAGATAGAAGAAAATATTGGAGTTAAAAAAAAATTGAAAATCAGGAACTTTTTTCAGATTGGCATTTATTTCTGTGAAGTAATTATTAACAAAATCAGATGCAGCGAGGAATAAGATATGCACATAAATGAAAGAGAGGAAACCATTCAGTTACTACTCAGTTCAGTTGTTCTTCAAAATGTACCTGTACACCAATGCCTGCCCCTGACATTGTTCACTGACCTGTTGTATAAGGAAAAAACAAGGAATATGTTATTATAAAACTAAATTGACAATTCGGTTCTTCATAATTGCTAGGTTAACAATAATGAATCGCCTTCCTACAGTTTTTTGGTTTTAAAATGTCATTACTTTTGTGAATTGATGCTGATCATAGTTAGGAATTGCTTATCTAATGCTCTCATTTGGCAAAATAAAAAGTTGGCAGCCACCCATAACTTTCTCCATTTTTTTTTAAGTTGCTGTGTCCATCTGCAAAATAAAATTCTGGGATCCATCGATCTAGTTAATGGTTGTGCCTAGATCTTTGTGCTTTGGCTGTATAAGGAAATGTACTTTTTGAGCATGTTCCTTCATCCTTCCCTTACAACAACAAAGAAGTATGAGAGACTTAGAAGAAAATGCTCCCGATTATAATTTCTCAGTTGTTTTACTTTTCAACCCTCTAATAAACCCCCTATTCCATATTACTCCTATGGTCTGCTTCTCTGAAAGAACCCTGGCTGATACACACAGGGATCCTCATTCCCAGGGCTGATTCTAGGGAATCTGATTTAAGACAAAGTTCTTAATAAATTATGGGCTGGCCCTGGTCCAGTAGCTCAGTTGGTTAGAGTGTCTCCCAATACATTAAGGTCAGGGCACATACAAGAATCAACCAATGAATGGGTAAATAAGTGGAACAACAAATTGATCTCTCTCATTCTCTCTCTCCCTGAGAGCAGAAACTGACTAATTCTCAGCACAGGTGCTCTTGTGGAATCTTGATAGCTGGTCTGAAGTCAAAATAGAGTGTCTCTGGCTCTTTCTACACCAGCAGGTGTTTCTCACTCCCAGCGCCCAAAATGTATGTGCCTCTAAGACTATAAAAATAGACACCTCTCACATTTCTCTATAGGAACACTTAGAAACAAACAACATTTGGAAAGCGGCATACATCTTATGTGAAGTTATTCCACTTTTACAAAGGACTTGCTAAGCCTGATGTGTGAGCATAGATACTTGTATATTCATAAATTTCTGGTGCCGATGCACTTAAAATTCACTGATCCTGAGAGAGGCAAGAAGAGGCAGGATGACTATGAACAAGTATTGCTTTTTTTGAGAGTTCTTCACTAAACATATTTTTAAATATCCAATTGCTTTATGTTATTAACACCCTAAATATGATGAATTAAGATTAAAATATCAAATTTTAGGTAGGCTATTGGGAAAACCTCAAATAAAATTTAATTTTTTAATTTAATTAATTATTACTACCAAAATGAGGCAATGTTTATACCAAATATTATTCTTCTATATAAATTTCTAACTATCCCTCTTATATCTAGACTTTCCTCTCAGTAGATGAAAATACGTTCTACAGATCATAAGTTATTTTAAAACTACTTTCATTCTGGAACTTCAAAAATTACACAGGGTATGTTTGTTTGTTTTTTGCATGCTCTTGTAACTTGGGATTCATAATTCATTGTCATAAAATATCACAGACCTTATTGTTTATAGGCAATATTTTGGTAGGAGTTAACTAAATGATGGAATGATTTGCTTCCTTAAAATTATTGTTCATATTGGAGGCCTATAAAAAAGGTAATAAAGCATAAAGAAAGAGAATTATTTATCCTAAAGATCAGAGAAAAAGCATAAATTAAAAATGATTGTCTAAAAAATAGAATTTTTAAAATATATTTGGTAAATAGTAATTTTATATCTATCTGCAAATAGATAAGGAAGGAAGGAAGAAAGAGAGAAAGAAGAAGAGAAATGAAGAAAATCAATAATCCCCTGTGAAATAAAAGTAGGGAATGAGAAGAGATGAAGACAAAAAAGAAAAAAAAACAGCCAAATGACATTTTTTTAAAAGAACTTAAATTCTAAGAGAAGAATTAAATCCACATTAGGGATCATTTAAAGCAGAAAGGACACTGTAGAAAACTGTCATAGAGAACAAACTTGAAAAACCCTAAAAAATATCTGAGCAGAAAAAAAGCAATGAAAAAATATTTTGAAAGATGCAAGTACAAAAGCAGTAATTACAAAACAAATGGTCAAATATAAGACCAAACATGTTTGTTGTGACAATAAATATATATGGGTTAAATTTCCCTGTCAAATGGTTAGGAATTTTAAATAAGATTTTTTTAAAAAAAAACTTATAGATTTTACTTAAACTATATATACCAAAAGAGAAGATTAAAATAATGGAGAAAGATCTATCAGGCAAATGCAAGCAAAAAAATGAAGCATGAATGAGAGAAAAAGTAGGTGAGAATTTAGCATCTTTGCACATATATATAGACAGGGTGTGCTGAGGCATCTTGTACTGGCTCACAGAGCTGACTGTACACATCTCTTTTCACCTGTACATTTGGTGACATCACATTGTTTTTGGAGAGCTGGTTTACCAGCACACCACTGTATGTATTTCTTTTCTTCACTTCACTCCTCAACATTTCCCAGTTTTATGAATATAATTTGTCCTTTTAGATCCTGGTTATTATCATTAAAGAACTTAATGTATTGTGATGGTTAATTCTATGTGTCAACTTCACTGGGCCCTGGGGTACCCTGATATTTGGTCATTATTGTGGAAGTCTCTGCAAGGGTACAGTGTTTTTATATGAGCTTAACATTTTAACCAATGGAGTAAAACAGATTGCCCTCCATAATGTAGGTGGGCCTAATCCAATCAACTGAAGGCTTGAGTGAACAAAAAGAATTACCTTCTCCCAAGTAAGAGGGAAGTCTCCAACAGACTACCTCTGGGCTTCATCTCCATGATTGGCTTTTCTGGATCTTGAGCCTGATGACCCACTGTTAATTTGAACGTGCCACTCTCCATGATCATGTGAGCCAATTCCTTATAATCTCTCTCTCTCTCTCTCTCTCTCTCTCTTTCTTCTTAAGTTGATATTCATGTCTTTATCCTCAACCTCTTAGTTTTGGGGGGAAAATTGTTAGCATATCTCCCACTTTACTGGTTCCATTTTCTGCAATAGATGACCTATTAATAGACAATTGTGGCCATTGCTTATTTTAATTTATCTGTCATGTATGTTTTCTCCATGCAATCTTTACCAATCTCTACCTCTTTCCTCTTTAAAAAAATCTGCAAAAGTAGTGTTTACAAATGTAATGTTCCAAGAATTGTGTTAAAACATAATTAGACATATTCTAAACTTGATGTATTCTCCCATTTTTGGAAGTACTTCTAGTTCACTAGGGGACTTTGGTTCTGATTGCTAAAATGCATCTACATTTAAGCCAAATTGAATCTCTACATCTACCTTCAGTTCCTTCCCTTGGATTTATTGTTCACTCAAAATAAGTTCACCCAAAGAGTTAATATTGAGTTTCCATTTATGTAATTTCAATTCTTTTTCTTTGGAACCATAGTAATTTTGCTAGAAAAAGAACTGAGGAAAAGTTCATCCTAATGTATTTTCTTTACTTAATTTTAATAATATATTTTAATATTCAACAGATGCTAGGAACAAATTGAGTGGTGAATAAAATACTTGGAGGAGAAATATGTTTCCTCAGAGTGCTGACAATTTGATATGAAATATAGTTCTTTGAAGCTGCAGCTCACAGTGACAAAATTACCCATGTACTGTCTCTTGACATCTCCACTCACCAAATTGCTCTGTTCTTGCAGGAATTCCCTTCATTCAAAAATATCCTTCTCCTAATACTTACCGAGCTCTGACTATGTGTCAGGTTAGCTCAGTTAATCTTCAAACATTCTCATGAGTTGCCTTTCATTTCTGTATACGCATTTTTTAAATTTTTTTATTTATTAAGTTATACATATGTGTCCTTATCCCCAAGTTACCCCCTATCCCCTCCCACTCATGCTCTGTATACCCATTTTACAGATGAAAAAAAGGCCGAGGCTCAAGGAACTTGCCCGCAGCCGCGTAGTTGGTACGACGCCGAAGCAGGCCTGCCTGGTTCCAGAGCCTGTGTTTGCCAGCCCATTGGGCCGAAATGCCCTGGCTGGGGCTCCTTTGGCTACGGTGAGTGCACCCACAGATACACTGCTACAGACTTTCAAAAGGAACCGCATCGGCAGGGCAGCTGTGCTCCAGTTATCTGTCACAGCGCAACAACCCGCAACAGTGCCTTAAAGCAACAACACGTTTATTTTGCTCCAATTCTGGAGGCCAGCTGGGCTCAGCTAAGCAATCCTCATTCAGCATCTCTCATGTGCTTGCAGTTAGTTGGTGACAGGCTGGGGTCATCGCAAAGGCTTTTTCTCTCACATGTCTGTCCCCTGGGCTGGGAAAGCTCAAGCAGCCAAGGACTGAAATGTCTAGTCTCAATCTCTCTCTCTCTCTCTCTCTCTCTCTCTCTCTCAAAAAAGAATCAGAAGCTTTCCAGATCTACTTCTGAATGCTGGAACTCAGTTTCTGACACACACACCGTTACATGGCAACTGAAGGCTCCCAGAGTAAGTGTCCCAAGAGACACTAGCATGGCCCTTACTCAACTAAACTTGGAGGTTGCACAGTATCATCACTTCGGGCACATTTTTACTCATCCAGGCAGTTACAAAGCCTCATCCAGATCAAGGGGCAGGAGACCTGGACAGCACCTATTGGTGGAAGAATGTCAAAGAGTTGGCAGGTGGGTTTCCAAAGCAGCCGGGGCTACTACTGTGTTGAGTTTGCAATATTCACTCTCACCCACCATGATTCACCTGACTTTGTAGGGGCCAGACCAGTGAGTTAAGTGAGCTATGATGAGTATGGCTACCTCTGCAATATTGGTTTTTATTTACTACATGGCTGGAGTGAAGGGGAGGTCGCTTTTTGCTGATGGCCTGCTCCCACTATGACCGTTTTTATTCCATAGGCCAAGGAACCAATGTGGAGCTCTGCCAAACACCAAATATGTCCACGCCACTTATACACAGCTTGGCCCAGGAAGGAGAAGTGACCTTGGGCAAGGTGGCCCTCTTCAGCTGAGAGCAAGCCTTAGAGACTTGGATGAGAATTGCTGGCCTCCAGCATTTCCAGCAGACAGGACAACGAATGTACTAGCTTCGAATAGGCTGTGGGGATGGGGACCAGGGTGGCACCCCACAGCATCCACTGCGCTGACTGACCCACATATTCTTTGATAAAATTCTTGTTGAAAAATCAAGGAGTTACCTGAAAGTGGCATAGGAGATAAAAAGAGAAAGAATGCCATTTACTTTCATTTTTCCAGATTGGGTAAAGAACTAACCTTTTGATTCATTTATCTTAGAGTAATTCCCACAAATAGGCTTTTCCACAACCTCAATTCTCCCACAGAAATGATACAGAAACGATCATACTCTTTCCTCCTTTCTGTCATTCCAAGCAGTTGTCTTGCTTCTAAACGTAATTGCTGCGCTAAATGTCGATGCTATATATCATACTTTCCTGTGAAGGTCAAACTGGGCAATGAGTAGATCTATGTTAAGTAATTATCAATTCCACTTTTGAAATGAGCCAACTTTGAATTTTCTGAACCTATTTTTTATGGAGGAAGCATTTACCCCAAGGCAATTCTTAGAAAAATATAAGTAGCAAACTCCAAAAAAAAGCACCTCAAAGCTGAAAGGACCAGGCCATGAAAAAATTAAAAGACAGAACATTTTTTTCAAATAGGCTATAATTTAGATTGATTTATTTAACAACTTAGAGCCTTTAACCCAAGATGCAATACATGATCATTGATATCTTTTTTTATTGAATTCAGTTTTTATATGTTATTTTTGTTTAAATTTTAATACATTCTTAACTATATGATTCAAAAAAAATAAAAGATACACAATGGGGGGAAATTTTTTTTCTCTCCTTCTCCCTCCCATCTGTTCAATTTCTTCCAATAGAAAACCAACAGTCTTGGCTTCTTATAGATGCTGCCGGGATCTTTATGTATAGTCAAGCATAAATCACAAAAAGTTATTTTATATAGCACTCTGCACTTTGCTTTTTTCACTTAACAAAAGCAACTCTTTCTGATTAATGAGAAGCCACAAGGTGTTTAAAGCAGAAAACTGTCATAGAGAACAAACTTGAAAAACCCTAAAAAATATCTGAGTAGAAAAAAAAGCAACTCTTTCTGATTAATGAGAAGCCACAAGGTTTGGGGACAGGGGTTGCAGCAAAATGTTATTACTTCAGATATTTTTGATAATCATAGTATCATTGCATGTATGCTTGGGACAATATCTATTACTTACAATTTATAAATTTAATCCTGTGTACAGACTCCACCTCAATGACAAGGTCCTACAATTAAAATTACATGGTTTGTGTCCTTTTAATATTAAGTCACAGGTCACAACAAGTAATGTGGTCCAATAATCACACCCAAATTTAATGATTTCTTCCACCTGTGCTTCTTCTCCTATCTGTGCTTCTACGAGACTGTAGGTAGAACTAAAGTTAGAGAAAACATCAAACATCTACATTTAAATCCCCTTGTGAATAAGATGCCCAAAGAAATGACCCCCGTCACCACCAACTTTCCCCTCCTCCACAAGAGCCTCTGACTCCAAAATCAGGCAAATATTTATAACAACAGCATCATCGGTGCCTACTGACAAAGACTGACAACTCTGAGAACAATGTCATTTGCAAGGTCAAAGCTCTTTGCCGGACCAACTCCCAGACATGTGCAGTCACACAGGGCCCCATGCTCAGCAGGGCCCTAAGTCTGGTTGATTGCTCTGCTGTTGCCATCTTGAAATTCTCTATAATTTTTTATCAAGATGCCCGGCATTTTCATTTCCCACTCGTCCCCACAAATTATGTAGCTGGTCCCGTCCACTGCCCCTTCTCCAAAGACATTCTAAGAGAGAGGATGCAGTAAAGGAAAAGAAATGTCCCCATTAACTCTATAAATAAGGGAAAAACACACTTCACAGAGCTTGCCTGACTTGGGTATTATTTTCCCCGTGGGAGAGCCTCCTTGGGCTGCTCGTAAATCCCTACAAAAGGTTAATTGCCTAATCCATAAGAACCACTATCATTTTCAGAACAGCCTATTTGTCATTGCAAAGAGGGGCAGCTAATTAGTTTTCATGTTGTTTCATTCTTACTGTTTTTTCCTTTTCTGTTAATGGTGGATGGCTTGTCAAACAGTAAAAGTAGTTTTATTTTTATTACACTCATCAAAATTCCTTACTTCCGCCCTGACTGGTTTGGCTCAGTGGATAGAGCGTCGGCCTGCGGACTGAAAGGTCCCAGGTTCGATTCCAGTCAAGGGCATGTACCTTGGTTGCGGGCACATCCCCAGTGTGGGGTGTGCAAGAGGCAGCTGATCGATGTTTCTCTATCATCGATGTTTCTAACTCTCTATCCCTCTCCCTTCCTCTCTATCAATAAAATATATTAAAAAAAAATTCCTTACTTCCAAGAGGAAAGATTCGTTTACTGATTAAATTCCCTCTCCCTCCATGAGGAATAATTCGTTAACTAAATACTACTCTCAGTGGACTTATGATACAGAATTCGTATTGTATTAGCACACCGGTGACTCCATTTTCAGAGAATTCATGTAAGTGATACACGCCAGTGGATTGCCTATGGATGTCAGGTCCTGGGAGAACTCCGCAGGTATTGCAACTGCTTCCCCAGTCCAGTGTGTACCAACCACTGCTTGCAGACAGAATCAGTAAGACACTTCTCAATGTTAACAAAGCTTTGCAAATGTTTGTAGATGCTGTTGGGATGAATACGTCCCAAATCTATATGCAAGTGTTGCTGAATTCACAGTAGCCTCTTACAAGTATTGTTGCAACCAATAGACACAAAACTCCGACTGCCATCATGGAGATTGATCCAAGAGTATTCTGAATTTATGTTAAAGGATGGAGACCATCCAAGACACGTGTTCAAACCTAATTGACTCAGGATGGCATTCAAAGCTTTGCAATATTGGGCATCTGAGCTGGCAGTAAGGGCAAGGAGGTTCTTGGGCAAGGGAGACTGTGACATGTGGCCTCTTGGCCTCTTTCTCAGTCCTGTCCTTCTAAATAGGGTAAGACATCTTCCCTGCGAGCTGGTCACGGCGCTTTCCAGTCCCATAGAAACCTCCTTGCTTACTTCTCGTTCCCTACACTGAGGCCTTCCTTCAAGTTCTTAACCCACACTCTTTTCCCACACTCTTTTTAGTCCTCCATATAATACCTCCTAATTTCCTCTTTTCCTCTCACAATCATTTTAAAACCAGAGCTCAAATGACTCACAACCACAAACTACTTTCTCCTTATTAGAGATCCAGGCATCAAAGGCTCCTTAGAAGTAAGGAGGGCCTGGCCGGCCTAGCTCAGTGGTTGAGCATCAACCTATAAACCAGGAGACCATGGTTCAATTCCTGGTTAGGGCACATGCCTGAGGTGTGGGCTCGATCTCCAGTAGGGGTGCAGGAGGCATTTTCTCTCACATTGATGTTTCTATCTCTCTCTCCCTTTCCCTGAAATCAATAAAAATATATATTTAAAAAAAGAAGTAAGGAGGAAGGCTTGGTTTCCATCTTAGAGGCACATGTGCCTCATGTCCTAGAATAGGTTGCATCATGTTAAGCAGTTGTCATTATGTTTCTGAATTAAAATTGGTTGAATAGCCATATCCTGCTATATTCTTCATCTCAATTAATCTACAACAAACCCATGAGGTTGGTCATATTATCAACCCCATTTTAAAGATGAGGCAACTCAGGCACAGGGAGGTTAAGTAACTTGTATGAGGTCACACAGCTAGTAGACAACCAAACTGAGCGCCTGAACCCTTAAAGCATACAAGCAAACTCTAAGGCTTAGGAGAGGAGTTAATTCCAGGAAGTGTTAGCTCTTTATCCTTTCTCCAGCCTCTGGCTTTACTAGGCATTAACATATATACTGGGTGTCCCCCAAAAATGTATACACACTTTGACAGCTGACAGCTCAATTTTGAAAATGAAACTATTTTAATAAACACTGCCTTTATAATTACTCAAAGTGTGTGTGTACATTGTTGGGGACACACTATATGTGAAACACCGAGATGGCTAAGAGAAATTACGATGGCCTCCTATGGCAGCCAAGCTAAGGGTAATGGACATGTGCTGGGCTCTATCTCAGGTCAGGAGGAAAATGATGCTTAATCTCACTCTCAGCCCAATGCCAAAGGCCAAAAATGACAGCCTGCCCTGTGTCCTCCTGGGCTAAACTGAAACTTGCAAAGTGACCTGGAGGGAAGATGGCTCTGTGTTGGGGTCCAGCTCCAGCAGGTCCAGGGGTTCCCAAAGGTGTGGACAGAGTCAGTGAAGAAGGAATGACATGGAGGCAGCGTTCAGTTCATCAGCATAGTTGGGATCTCCAGCCAAGTTCTGTGTTTGATTGTCTTGTTACATCTGTATTTATACCAGTTGATTTTAATCCTATCAATTTCTATTCCAAAGGTTAGGGCATTTCTTATCTCCATTCCAGGGAGTAAAGATTATGTAGCTTAAGTGTGATTTTTCGTAGTTAAAGTGATTAACTACCCACCTGGCACTTAGTTAAGGGGTTTTATTCCCTCCCTAACTCCAGGGAAAAATCCCCACCTGGGGAAACAACCTTTCTCGGAGAGGTGACCTTGGTTAAAACACATAGCGCCAAGAAGGGGAACAAACATATTAAGAATAGTATGCCATATACACCAGGTCCCTTGAAACATGCTGTGCGGATGTTTCTTCCCTGCAGCGACTGTGTCAAGCAGCAAGGATGGACTGGCTTCCAGCAGCTCTGGTGATCAGATTATCGAAAAAAGAAAGAAAGGTTGGAGAATTATTGTGACAGCTACATGGCAAGTGGGGGAAAGGGGGCTAGTCCCTTCATGTTCCCCATGGACAAAACTAAAATGTCTAGACACAATCTGTTAGAATCTACAAAAGTTGCTCCCCAGATACCAACTTTTGACATTAAGTATTACCCACCGCGCACATATATTATATGTAGAATTCACCTGGTGATATATTTTAGTGATGATGAAATATTTATATAGCACCCGGGAAATTTTTTCTTTGTTTTTTTATAAGCAATTTAAGTTCATTATAAAAAAGTCAAACAGAAGGGAATGAACTGAGATATAAAGGTCTTACCCTGATACCAACCATTCATTTCAACACCCCAGAAATAACTGCTTTTGTTAATAGCTTTTCTATGCAGTCACGAGAAAGTATTGTTTGTTTGCTGATGTTTTTAGACAAATGGGAAGATACTATGCATTTTTGTTTTGCAAATGCTTTTTTTTCAGTATATAATAGCATATGTTGTGTATCTTGCCACATACGGCTTTTGCTGGTTGCATGATACCCCACTTTTTAGGGATGCATGAAGAAATTTTGACTAGTCTCCTAGTAAAAATACCTCCTAATGCCTCCTAATTTCCTGAGAAATAATGGTAGCTCACAAAATAATGTAATGGGTAAACATCATTACATTTGTACACAAGCTCCCCACTAGAATATAAGTCTTATGGTGGCAAAGATCTTGCCTGCTTTGCTCATTGATAAACCCTCAGCACTTAGTGCAGTCCCTGACACATAGTGGATGCCCAGTAAGCACTCATCGGATGAATATACCTGCATGTATATGTATGTACCTCCACAGGTATTTTTAAATTTCTGTATGTATTGACCAATCACCCTCCAAAAGTATTACTTCACCATGTACTCCTATCTATGTTTTGTTTTGATCAGTTGGGGACTTCATTTTTAGAGCTCAGTGTAATAGAAATAGTGAATGCTTGTGTATTAGTTTTCTGCTATAACAAGTACCACAAATTTGGTGGCTTAAAACAACACAAATTTATTATTTTGTGTATTAGTTTTCTGCTATAACAAGTTACCACCAATTTGGTGGCTTAAAACAACACAAATTTATTATCTCTTGGTTCTGGAGGTCAGAAGTCCAAAATGGGTTGGCAGGGCTGTGTTCCTTCTGGAGGCTTAAGGGAAGAATTTATTTCCTTGCCTTTTCCAACTCCTAAAGGCTGCATTCCTTGGCGTGTGGCTCTTCCCACATCATTCCAGCCTCTGCTTCCATAGTCACATCTACTATGAGCCTCTTGTCTCTCTCCTTCCCTGTGATTACACTGGGCTCATCTTGATAACCTAAGATAATCTCCCCATCTTGAAATCTCCATCTTAATCACATCTGCAAAGCCCTATTTGCCATGTGAAGGGCATTATCACAGGTTCCAGGGATTAGGATGTGGATATCTTTGGGGAGCCATTATTACTCTGCCTTCCACAGCTTGGGAGTCAGGTCTGACTTTCAGCATCGTCACTTCAACTGCATATTCTAACTATGTGTTGAGTCCTGACCTAGCTCACCATGTCCTGACCTAAATCTAAGTAGTATGCTAACTAGCTTGGTGGTCTTGCCCCAGTTACATAGCCTCCCTGAACCTTCATTTTCTCACTTGCAGAACTGGAGAGATTGATACCTCTCTCATTGAAAATGTTGTATGTAGAATGTCTGCAGACATTCCATTCCCTTTAACCAGTCTTCAGGAATGATTCTATGCTGTTTTAATCTTGACAAAATGTAAATAAAATACTGGGTTAAGCAGTAACGAGGTAGAGAAGCAGATTTACTCTTATAAACTGTGTGAATGTGAATTGGTACAGGCTTTTTAGAGGGTGGTGTGGCACTGTGAATGTAATGAAAAGCCTTATAAATGTCTTTTCTCTTTAGCCCAGTAATTATCCATTTCTAAAGTGTACCTTAGGGGCACAGATGAATTTATGCATAAAGATGTTCAGTGAAATATTATCTATAATACTGGGGCAGGGGGAGTGGAAACTGACAACTGGAGAAAGAAGATACCTACTAAGAAGAGCTTAGTAGGTGGCTCGCTGGGCTCAAATTTAAAAAGAAAGCCTAACAGCTGTTTCTAAACAGGGGCCTCTTATGAAAGCCACAACTCAGGGAGAGGCCTGCACGAAGGGGCCTGCCTCCCACACTGCCTACACTGTGTTCCTAACTTCTGAGTCAATCCTTATAAAGGAGTTCCTGGAGTCATATTTTTTTTTCCTTTAGAATTATTTTATTAAATCATAAATGTACAACAGCTTCTTAACTCTACACAAGCACTTAAATTTTTTTAAAGGAAAAACGTTATGTCTTATTACACCATGATCCTGGCTAACAGCTTTTATGCTTCTACACTCTTACAAAGACCACTAGAAATAAACAACAATTAAAAAGCTAAGAAACTGTCTCAAAGGCATTTTTTTTTACAATCCTTCCTCCACAGTAAGGTAATGTTATTAAATAATCCAATCCATTCTCAAAATGGCTCTCTGCATCTGCTCTGGTGTCTTCTGCCATATCACTGCATACTTATGCATGACTGAGATAAGAGTTTCCTTAACATTGTTATTCGATAACCTGAAGCTGTTCTGTTGCCTCTGGGCTCTCATCCTCTCCTATTTATACAGTGAAGCCCATGGCAAATAGGAAGAAGCTCAATATCGGCTTCTCCCTCCATAGCCCCCACTTCCTCCACTTCCTCCAGGACCATAGTTTCCTCCACCATATGGTCCCCCCATGTTCCTGCTACCACCAAAATTTCCACTCTTCATTGGACCATAGTTAGATGGTTGCTGGTTATAATTTCCAAAATCACTGTAATTTCCACTTCCGTAATTTCCTCCTCCATAGTTGTCATAACCACCTCCGTAGCCCCCACCCTGGTTGCCATATCCAGGTCCTCCACCACCATATCCTCCTCTTCCTCCTCCATAACCAGGGCTACCTCCAAAATTGCCACCTCCAGGCCCTCCTCCATACCCATTATAGCCATCCCCAAATCCACGACCACTTCCATAGCCATCAGATCCTCCTCTAAAGTTACTTCCTGGTCCTGGTCCAAAATTTCCACCACCACCTCGAGAGTCTCCAAAACCAAAGCTGCCTCCTCTTCCACTTGTAGAATTTTGAACTTCCTGCATTTCTTGTCTAGACAAAGCCTTTCTTACTTCTGCATTATGACCATTGATGGTATGGTATTTCTGCAACACAATCTTATCCACAGGATCATGGTCATCAAAAGTAACAAATCCAAAGCCTCTCTTCTTTCCAGACTGCCTATCAGTAATTATCTCAATGGTATCAATTTTTCCATATTCTTCAAAGTAGTCTCTAAGGTGATGTTCCTCAGTATCTTCTTTAATCCCACCAACAAACAGCTTCTTCGCCGTTACATGAGCCCCTGGCTTTCCAGATTCCTCTCTTGCAACAGCACGTTTTGGCTCAACCACTCTTCCATCAATTGAATGAGGTCTTGCAGCCATGGCGGCATCAACCTCAGCCATGGATGAAAAAGTTACAAAACCAAATCCTCTTGATCTTTTGCTTGCAGGATCTCTCATTACCACACAGTCTGTAAGTTTCCCCCATTGCTCATAGTAGTTCCTCAAACTTTCTTCTGTGGTTTCAAAGCTCAAGCCACCAATAAAGAGTTTACGGAACTGTACCTTTTCTCTTTCCATCGCGAACTCAGTCGCTTCAGCCCGATTTCCGGCAGCCGAGCGAGATGAGAGAGATCTCCGCGGTCGCACGCGAACCAGACTCGTCCTGGCGCTGTAGTGAGAACAGAATTGCCACCGCTGGAGAAACAACAAGGCTAGAGACACGTCCGCACGCTGAGCCGGCGCTGCTGCTAATGCCGCTCCAGCCGGGGCCGCGGCTTTTCTAGACTGGAATCATATTTTGACCAATAGGACTCAGACTTCCCCTGCAGCACCTTCACAGACCAATCAGAGAGGCTCCATTCTGACCAATCAGAACAGTGCGTTTGGGACCAATCAAACTGTGATGATTTGCAGTCCTCATTTGCATGAGGATGGACGAATCAGAGACCAGGAACAAAGCCATTCCTCTATAAAAATCAGCTGCCCTAGGACTCAGCCCATACACTTTCCCTTCCACCAGTGGTGTTTGAGTTTCCCTGGCTGGAGCTGAACCACCAAAGACATCTCAGCAATCCAGAGTTGATGGAATAAAGTTTCCTTCCTCACCACACCCCAACTTGGGGATTCCTATTGACCTTGAATTGGTGCCAAAGACCATGGGTTGGAGAAACAAACTAAATGTTCACTAATAAGGAATTAGGGAGATAAGTATCATACAGCCTCATTACAGAAATTTCACCGTATGAAAGGATTTTGTGAAAGGATATTAACCCCTAGAGTGCCGGAGCTCAATCACACTCCTGTCTTTCGCCAAAAGTGCCGGGAGCACTATCAAAGCTTTGAAATGGGTCCAGTTCTAAGTCTGCTTTTATTAGTGATGATGATATTGCTAAATATGTCAATGTAGTAAAGGTTTCCTTAAGTTTTTGAATATGTAACTTCATTTACTTGTGATTCATAATTTTTTTCCTAAACTGCTGTAAAATCAGCAAAAATGCCTTGGCAATTTTAGCATAGTTCCTAGGATATTGGTAGGCACTCATTAGTTGGCACTCATGTTCAGAGGTTTGTCAAATGTTAGTGACAAACTTGGGGGTTAAATCAGGGTTACTTCTTATCTCATATCAAAAAGAAAACTTTGGCCCTAACCGGTTTGGCTCAGTGGATAGAATGTCGGCCTGCGGACTGAAGGGTCTCAGGTTCGATTCCAGTCAAGGGCATGTACCTTGGTTGTGGGCACATCCCCGTATGTGGCGTGCAGGAGGCAGCTGATCGATGTTTCTCTCTCATCAATGTCTCTAACTCTCTATCCCTCTCCCTCTTCTCTGTAAAAAATCAATAAAATACATTTTTTTAAAAAAAGAAAACTTTGTGTGGTGAGTGAGTGTGTACATATTTGTAATATAGGGTGTCCCAAAAATACATGAATACACTTTGAATAATTACAAAGGCAGTATTTATTTAAAAACATTTCATTTTCAAAATTGAGCTATCAGCTGTTAAGGTGTGTATACATTTTGGGGGGAAACATTGTATATATTAAAAGTATATATTTTACCGTATTTATTTCTTCTACCCTCACCCCACCCACCCACCATCCCTCCACTCCCCCCACTTAGCACACATTTATACACCCAGATGTCCGACTTCTCCATCCATCATTGATCCAGCTACATGCCTGTCCATCCACCCACCCGTGCACACATCTTTGTGCCCACTTGCCCATCCATGGCTGCTTCCAACTCTCCCAGCAAGTGCTCTCCCGCACCAGTCCTGTGCCGGTCCTGTGCTAGGGTCACGGGGCATGCAGAGATTAAAATGAATTAAGTTTACAATGTTCAAGAAAATCTTGGTCTAAGTCTGTATTCACTCCAGGTCACCTTCCAGGTGACTATTTGTTGAGCTCCTCCTATCAGTCAGGTGTTTCAGGCACTGGGCACAGATAGACACTGTTACTCTACCCCCTCCCACTTTACAGACGAAGAAACTGAGGCTCAGAGGTTATAGTGCAGTGGTTCTCAACCTTCTTAATGCTGCGACCCTTTAATACAGTTCCTCATGTTGTGGTGACCCCCAACCATAAAATTATTTTCGTTGCTACTTCATAACTGTAATTTTGCTACTGTTATGAATCGTAATGTAAATATCTGATATGCAGGATGTATTTTCATTGTTACAAATTGAACATAATTAAAGCATAGTGATTAATCACAAAACAATATGTTATTATATATGTGTTTTCCCATGGTCTTAGGCGACCCCTGTGAAAGGGTCATTCGACCCCCAAAGAGGTCTCGACCTACAGGTTGAGAACCGCTGCTCTAGTGGAAGGCAGTACAGGGCTGCTGCGGAACACGTGGTTGAGACTTTATTTTAGATAGCTTATTGTTTCGAGACCTTCCGAGAGAAGCAAGAGCCCTGAAATTAGTAAGCTATTCTACTTACTCAAAACATTCTTGAAGAACAAGAACACTTGGAAGATTGACAATTAACTTTCTCAATTGTAAAGGTCTGGGATCTAAACTTGAATTTCATTCTCCTCTCCTACTTTTTGGTAGCTTGTTTTCTAGGTCCAGGTCTAGGACGCTGGACTTTCATATCCGAGGTACCAGACGAGGTAGATGTCATGAACCTATGACACGCATGTCAGAGGTGACACGCGAGCTCATTTTTTTTGGTTGATTTTTCTTTGTTAAATGGCATTTAAATATATAAAATAAATATCAAAAATATAAGTCTTTGTGTTACTATGGTTTTAGAACGACTGAAGGCTCGGGGGTGGAGCCTGAGGCTTGTAGGGAGTACCTGTCTGGAGTGCTAGCACCGCCCTGTGACTCTATGAATCTTCGCTCCACTCGGCCCCTCTTCGGCTGTGTTCGACTAGCACTCGTGTTCTCGGCTCGGCTCTCTTCGGCTACTTTCGGGAAATTCCCGTCGCAGCCTCGGTTCCTCTTCGGCCAGCGCTCGTCTTCTCCGGCTCGGCTCTCTTCGGCTCCCTTCGGGAGACGCCCGTCTCGGCTTCAGCTCCTCTTCGGCAGAGCTCGGCTGACGCTCGTCCTCTCGGGCTCGGCTCTCTCCGTCTGCGTTCGGCCGAGGCCCGGAAGGGCGCCCATGGAGCGGGGACTGTCGGCTCGACCGACGGCTATGGCGCCGCTGCTGGAATATGAGCGGCAGCTGGTGCTGGAGCTACTGGACGCGGACGGGCTGGTAGTGTGTGCCCGCGGGCTCGGCGCGGACAGGCTCCTCTACCACTTCCTCCGGCTGCACTGCCACCCGGCGTGCCTGG